TTCCAACGCCCGCTCTGCAGCAGTTTTTGATTAACGGACGGTAAGGGGCGAAATTTCATTATGTATTCATCCCCCCGAAGGCTTATTTACTTGCGGTGGGGGTGTTATTGTTGTGGTTGAAATTTTCGGTTTTGTAAAGTTTTTCTTAGATATATAAAACAAATGCAAGGCTTGTTAGTAACAATGGGGACTGGCAGCCCCATTGATCGCATTAATAATGTACCCTGTCAGGTCAAGCTTCAAGTGAAATTACTGGAAACTGTTATGATTAATTCCTGGTGAATAAGTTACGATTGGTTAACCGATTTGACTTCATCCTCACGTATCACCCCTCACTGGTGCCCCGCCAGTGTATACAAATAGCATAGGCGGGGTTATTATTCCATTATCATTAATTTAAAAAAAAACTATATACACATATACAAGTACATATCCGTCACACTTGTCTCCCATTGAGGTAGACAGAAACAATGGTACGCCAAATGCTTCGATTCGAACAGATCTCGCTTCGCTTCCTCTGGATTCATCAATCTTTTCATACGCGCTCGCTGTTTACATGTACTTTTAAGTTTACCCTTTAACACGTCGCCTATTTAGTTTCAGACGTTTCCTTAGTATTCCAGTAGGAGGCCCAAAATTTTTTTAATATTTTTAAATCCGTTTCTTTGGTAAAAATGTTAAGATACTCTCTTAAAAAGATGCTAAAAATTTTAATAATTTGACCCTGTATAGATATTATTTTATTTATTTAAATAACTTTATTGACCAAAGGAAAATATGGTACAAAAGGTGGATTTAATGTTAGTAGCATTCTCTACCAGTCAACCTTTTGGGATGAACTGTGAATCACGAACGCGGTACTTCATTATTGGGATAGGTAAGGTAAAATAGTAACTAATGATGTATACTTATACATAGAAAGTTATATATATATTTATACAACTTAGAATGGCAAACAAGCTGACGGCCCACCTAATGGAAAGTGGTAACCGTCGCCTATAGACATAAGCAGTACCATGGACATAACAGAGTATACTGTTTCGCCCATGATACCCCCCATGCGTTGCCATTCCTGAGGACTCAGGTGATATTCCTTTGTACCCAGTAAATTCACGCCATATCTCACCCTTTAAACCGAACCACAGCCATGCAAACACAACTGCTTCACGGTTGAAACACGAATGGGACAGAGGTACCCAAGCAATCGACTTTTGTACAAAGTCTCCCTCTGGTAATAGTATAAACAACATAATATGATGATTATAATATACATACGTAAATATGTTGTACGCTCGTAGTGGATAGACTGTGTTTTTTTTAATGGATGGCCATGGAATGATAACCCCGCCTATATTAACTGTAGCGGGGCACCAGTAAGGAATGACAGGCGACAATGAAATCACAGGTGAGTAAGCCCATCGTAATGAATACATCTGGAATTCAACGCAATGGTTTCCAGGGAGGACTGCGTGGAAGTCTACGTAGTAGTCCGCATTACTAAAAATCCTTATCCTCAGACTGTGTTGTGCGCTATATTTTTTTTTTATTAAATGAAAATGGAATGGTAACCCCGCCTGCGCTAATGGGATACACTGGCGGAGCACCAGTGAAGGGTGATAGATGAGAATGAAAACAGGTCAGATAGCCCATCATGATGAATTCATCTGGAATTAACCATGATAGTTTCCAGGGGGAACCGCGAGGAGGTCATCCTGGTTGGGTATATTGCTAGCAATGGGATTCTTAGTCTCCATTACTAACAATCCCTTTCCCTCCCTGTACATTATATTACCTATGTAGATAATATGGCGTACAAATGTGTGGAAAATATTGAATTTTTTATATTCCATTAAGGTTCATTCATTTATTATATTCCATTAAGTGGACCATCGCTTCATTCGTCATTCAGTGTCAGATCCGTGTGGTCCCAGCATAGAATATGGTGGAGTGATTAACAGCAACGTCCCTCTTAAAACTTCTCCAAAGCCTAACTGCGGCTGCCAATACGCCTGCCAAGCGTGACAACAACTGGCAAAACCTCCTTAAGGAAGGCTTATGTTCAGCAGTGGACAGTTAAAGGCTGAGATGATGATGACGATGAATGTATACCTACTTGATATAAAAGTAGTATTAAGACTGTCATTTTAAGGTTTAAGCTGTGATACTTGATTAATAGAATTAAAAAATATTGGCACCAATTTAAAGCAAGTAAAGTCGAAATAAAGTCCATTTTATCTTTTCTATTTTTTCCCCTTTCTTTTATTTAAATATTTTTTTAATACATACTTTAAGAGATATGAAATTACATGGTGCTCTGCTTATATTAAGAAATATTGTTATGTTTATATGAAAATCAAAACTTCATTTTATGTTATCAGATGGCGGTATAGTTTATTCTAGTTGGAATGCGGATCTAGTACCTATTTAGAATAAATTACTGATAATTTAAGATTACAATGTGTCAATGAAGATTGAATTTCCGAAACTATCCGCTAGAGGCGCAATTAAGTTTTTGATCCAAAATTATAGTGATGTAATCTTTGCACAACTCACACTAGGGACTCGGAATGGTTAGTGTGAGTTGTATAAATATTTACATTAAAGCCGCATTTATGTTTACGTTGCTAAGTTTATATGGATACCTGAGTTTCCGAAACTATCCGCCAGAGGGGCAGCAAATTTTTCAATACAAAATTGTAAATGTAAACAGTTACAGGTAACGCAATCTTTGTATAACTCACACTAGACATTGTCATTAAAGTAATAAATATGGACCCAACGTAGAATTTAAACTTTTATTGAGGAATTTCTATACAAGTCATAGTGATAATGTTGATTCGAAAAAAAAAAATTGCATAAGTGGCGAAATAAGTTGCTTAAAGAATGAAACCGTTAGAGAAGATAGATTTGTGAGTAGTAAGTGGCGACCCGTATAAGCAATTATTATATAACACGACTCTCAACAAAAAATTCTAACTTTTTGGTGATAGTATAAACTGTTAACAAAATAAATTAGTACAAGAGAGCAATGAACTTGCTATGTTTTTATAATAATAGCACATGGCCTATTTAAAGGGCAATTGTCTTATTTGTATTTAAGTATTTATTTAGGTATATGAGATACTTGCATAGACTTAGTTTCTGATCATTAATCCTTGTGTAAAGCAAAATACTTATTACTTTGTTTAAATGTACTTCTGTATGATAAATTTTAGAATCACACGGCAATAACTTGCCATTCAACGACAGGTGGCGCTAAAACGAACCCGAATTTCTGGATTTATAACTAAAAATATAATTGTATAATATTTTTTATACAATCCCATTTAATGCTTGTTCGATATTAATAAATTTTATTTAATATTAAACTAATTACGCATGTTATGTTGATCTTATAAGTTAAGTTTAGTAGTTTACTAGTTAGGTTTTAGTTCCAAGAATAGCCACTAGGAGAATAAGTAAACAACTATTTTAGTGCAGTTTAATGAACACAGATGTCGGTAGTGATAGTGATTATTTTTGTAGTCTATAATAATATTATTAACATCTTGTAACTCTTAAAAAAGTATACTTATGTTATATTTTATGATTTGTTCAAAAAAGATCCTTTTTTATTTTTATAAATAGGGCTAACCAAAGTAAAAAATGCGATTACCAACCCGATTGCCAAACGTGGCAACTACTGGCAAAACCCCCCTATAGGGGAAGGCCCATATTCAGCAGTGGATAGTTAACTTCTGATATGATGATCATGAAACTAAAGAAAAAAAAGAAGAAAGTCGTGCAACATATAGAAAAAAATTGAAGAAAAAATATTGCTTTTGTATGTTAGTTAAAATTAACATTTTGTTTAATTTTCCGTCTATATTAATCATAGAATACATGTTAATATAATTAAAAATTAGCACTTAATCAAATTTTGAATTGCATGAAAATTGTAGACAAAGGTAAGCAATTTGGTGATAAAGTAGGCTTGCCATCGATATACAGGAAATTCAAGATACACAATTCGAGAACCGCAAAAGCGGCATTAAAATCTATGCGCAAACTTACAAATCAATTATTTATTTATTTATTAAACTTTAATTTACCTAGAAAGTATAAATGGTGGACTTAACACCATATGGCGTCATCTACCGTAGACAGAAATAACAGACACAATAATTGATAGTGCATCGTAATGTACAATATTATATTAAAAAAGTTATTCAAAGATAACATACATAATATAATCATATTACCTACATAATACACATATATTTTACAGAGGGAGACTTTGTACAAAAGTCGATTGCTTGGGTACCTCTGTCCCATTCGTGTTTCAACCGTGAAGCAGTTTTGTTTGCATGATTGTGTTTCGGTTTGAAGGGTGGGATATGTCGTGAATTTACATTGTACAGAGGAATAACACCTGAGTCCTCAGGAATGGCAACGCATGGGGGCTATCATGGGCAAAACAGTACACTCTGTTATGTCCATGGTACTGCTCATGTCTATAGGCGACGGTTACCACTTTCCATCAGGTGGGCCGTCAGCTTGTTTGCCATTCTAAGTTGTATAAAAAACAAAACACATTATATATACATATATGTATTATAATAATACATTAATATCGGATGAACAACTACTTAGATACAAGGGAAATACCAGCATCAGACAAAGCAATTTACAAGTATGATTCGTAAATATTTGTCAATATATGTCTATAGGGAGGAAAAGGGGTTGTTAGTGATAAGATTTAACAGTCCCATTGCTAGCAATACACCCTATCAGGTCGACCTGCACGCGGTTCCCCCTGGAAACCATAGTGGTTAATTCTTGTTCAATTGGTTACTAGCGCAGGCGGGGTTATATTTATTTATTATATATATACCTATATCGATACCTTCTGTTTTTAAATAAATATAACTTTTGTTCAGGTATGTGTATCTTGAGATTTTTTATATCGATGCCACACTCGCCATCCTATCACCGAATACGTCAAACAAGCACATATTAAAAAATCAATTTCACGTCGAATTATTTTCACTAATCAACTCGTGCGCAGTTATTGTAACGTTCCAGTGAGGAACGCGTGCCTGTAACAATGGTCAAAGTTTTTGTTGTTTTTATTTGCGTATTTTACTACATCCTGCCAGCATATCAAGATAGTAAGTTATTGTAAAATATTATATTATTTATTAGAGAGAAAGTTTTAGATGATTCCAAAATAAAAAAAAAAAAAAAAAAAAAAAATTAATGGATAATTCTATAAAAAGAACGACTAAGTCGCCTGCAGTCCATTGACTCAAACTAATAGATTTATTTAATTCACAGGAAAACTTTTGAGAAATATTTTTTAACCAATGCAAATGGAATGGTAACCCTGTTTGCTAAATCAGTATGAAATGCTAGCCAGAGGTATCAATGAGAGATGATAGATGACGATGAAATAATATCCGTTGGGTCATCATGATGAATTCATCACGAATTAACAATATTCTTTATTGAATTAAAACATACAGTAATAATAACAATTAGAAACAATGTGAGCAAAGGTGAACGTATCTCTAAAAGAGATCACTTCCAGTTATCCTAGCAAAGTGTACAGCGTGGTTTCAGAGATGTTTCCTCCCACGAACACTCAGGTTATGGAATGAGCTCCCTGCCGAGGTTTTCCCAAGAGACTACAGCGTGGGGTACTTTAAAAGGGGGGTAAAGAGGTTTCTTCAGGGTCGGCAACGCGCGCGTAATACCTCTGGTATTGCAGGCGTTCATAGGTTACGGTAACCGCTTACCATCAGGTGGGCCGTATGCTTGTTTGCCACCTCAGTGGTATAAAAAAAGTGGCATAGGAAGTATGTGTAGTGAATGGGCAGCAGTAGCCAACCAGCTTGTCAAGCGTGATAAGTACTAGCACAATCAGGCCTATGTTCAGCGGTAGAATTAAAGATCAATATCGTGATGATGAAATCTAATGGTTTTACCACTTCAGTCTGCTATCATTTTTGTTACCAAAAGCTTTCATTATTGGCTATGCATCAATGTTATTGGAAATTCGTGTTACAGCAGCCTAGAACAGGCAATATCTTTGTTAGCTTTTTTTTATATATAACTTAAAATGGCAAATAAGCTGACAACCCTCCTGATGGAAAGTGGTAACCGTCGTCTATAGACATGTGCAGTACTATGGACATAACAGAGTATAGTGTTGCCCCCATGATACCCCCCATGCGTTGCCATTCCCGAGGACTCAGGTGTTATTTCTCCGTACCCAGTAAATTCATGGCATATCCCACTCTTCTTCTTCAACGGAAACACAGCCATGCAAACACAACTGCTTTACGGTTGAAACATGAATGGGACAGAGGTACCCAAGCAATCGACTTTTGTACAAAGTAAACATAAAAACATACAAAACATAAAAACGATAATATTTTTCTAGTAATTTTTCAATTCGGTCGAATTGAGACTCTCCTCCGTTTTCAAAGCCGGTTTAGTATTGAACAATGATATCGATCTGTCGAGTTATTTGGGTATTTGCCAACTAGCAATAAAATATCTCAGTATAATATTTATTCTTATTGCACACTTTGCAGAATATGACGTTATAATAATTCCAGTACCGAAACAACCAAATGTTCCTCTAAGATCAAAGAAAGTTCTCGAAGTGAGTGTACCGAAAAGGTTGTTATTAAAAAATCCATTCAGAAAAGACGATTTCTACAAACTTGATATTGAGAACTACGATGCACCTACAGAATTACCTGATATTGATAACTTCGATTATACAAAGGATCGAGACGAACATCCGAAAAGGATTGGTGATTATGACGAAAATTCTAATGAAATGCAAAAATCAGTATACGGCGAAGATAAAATTGTTGGCGGGTTTGAAGTTGATATCAATTTGTATCCGTATCATGTAGCTTATGGTACTAATTGTGGTGGAGCTATAATTGACAAGAAATGGGTGATCACTGCTGGACATTGTGGGTAAGTATAATAACTGTTTTCTATTAATCATTAATAGGTTATCAATAATAGGATATAAATATAAGAAGTTGTCAAGATAAAGTAAGGTTACAATGATATTAGATATAAAAAAATGAGAGATAGAGAGCTAAAGATAGAAAAGAAAAAGATAAAGATAGATATAAATTATAATCTTTGTATATCATACGCCTCGTAACAGAAAATTTCTAGAAGTCTAGAAATGGCTGTTGAAAAAAGAATGTGGATCCTTAAAAAGAGGAGAATGTTTTTTAACTGGCAACGAATTTTATATGATTTATGTTTTGTTGAAAAAAAAAATTTTTTGTAAAAGAGCTTTTTATCAACGTTTTACATTGAAAAGGATTGCTCGTATTTTGCATGCATTGTGCAAGTAGTTGCATTTTGCGTTTTTTCTTTTACATTGCAAGGAACTCGGAACTAATATTAATAGTCTATGAGAGGCCAATAATAATGATAATATGGATAATGTGATAGCTGAAATTATGAGGATAATAATAAAATTTAAACCGAAAATATAACTAAAATGTATGAGTTATACTAACAACTATTTTTTATGTACATACATTGATAATTATGATTAATTAAGTTAATATTATTTAAATTTCAAAGCAAGAAGCCATATGTAAGAATAGGGTCTAAATATTTGAACCAGGGGAGGAAAGTGATGGTAAAACATAATCACGTACACCCTATATGGGGGAAGAAGGTGAAGGAGCATCCATTCGACTACGACTTCCAACTCCTGGAGTTGAATGAAAACTTGAAATTCGATGAGAATGTCCAACCAGTCAAGATAGCGCATATCGAGGATATGGTAATTGGAAAGGTGGTGACTGTAACTGGCTGGGGGAATACAGAGGAAAATGTGAGTTCAATATTTTTTTTTTTTGTTTTTAAGAATTACAAACAAGTTGAAATTTCACCTGATGGGAAGTGGTAACTGTTACATTTAGACCATGGATATTAAAATTGAAGGTTAATGTAACATCAATTTTCTCTAAGATCCAAAACAATTTTTAAACCTATATACTAAACTGGTCCCGAAACCACGAAAACGATTTTTAAACCTTCTATTTACTAAACTGGTCCCAAAATCATGCAAACTACATGAAAAATTAATTATTTTTGTACTTTGATATACTTTTTTGGGGAGAGTAGTTTAGTTGCATGAATATCTTCAGTCATGCAAGGATTTTGGATTGCAAGAAACAATCACAGTGAATCAGGACCATTCCTTATGACTGTCATTAAGTAATCTCTATATTCAATAAAAGACTGTGTTTCTCAAACGTTGATAAACTTGATATCCTTTCTGCTACAATTACTGATGCTTCTTTTCAAAATATATTATCGATTTTTTTTTTATTTAGAGATAGAATTGCATTTGATCTTGTCCCGATTGTGAGTGATGATAAGATCTATGTAGGTAACTTATTCATTATAATAATGATTTATTTGCATTAAAAACTTACAGAAACTTAAGTTTAAAGTACGAAAATATAGAGCTATGTTCCATTTAATTTCCATTTGTTTAATCTTGTACAGTTTAATCATGCAACCGCGAGAATCACGCGCAGGGCTCCTTAAACGGGATTGTAAATTAAAAAGCCATCGGTTACGCCTCAGACACATTTCCATTAACCTATATGAATGTAGCTTATTATGGTTAATCTATTGCATCTCTAGATTGAATTTGAATAAACATTTTCTTCTGCGGCGTGAACACACTGGGAGCGAGTTTTCTGTCTAAGTTCCTAAGTAGTAAACGGAGAAGCAATATTGTACTAGCTTTATCCCGCAGTTCGAGCTACGTGAATTAGTACATAAAGTGTTATATGTTAAGGATTTAATATATCTACTCAATGAGTCAATTCACCATTGGGGGAAAGGGATTGTTAGTAATGGGGTACATCTCCATTACTAGCAATGTACCCTATCAAGTCGATCTCCACCCGGTTCCCCCTAGAAACCATCGTGGTTAATTCTCGTGGAATTCTTCACGATGGGCTAACTTACCTGCTTTCATCCGCACCTATCACCTCTCACTGGTATCCCGCCAGTGTATACCGATAGCGCAGGCGGGGTTACCTTTCCATTTTCACCCGTTAAAGAAAAGTTCACCACTGCCTTTTTTCATTGTACTGCCACAGAGTTTCGCAGGGCGGTAACAAATTGCGCAGAATTGCATTATTAATGTTTGTTTTTATAGTATAGTTAGAAATTTTTATTATTTATTTTTTCCATTAATTTATTATTGTAATTATCTATTTTTGGTTTATGGTAAGTGCATTAGTAAATTTGTAAAGCTTACCAAAAATATGCATATATGTTATAAATAAATAACCTACCGTTGTACCAAAATTCAATTTTATTCGGTAGTTTTTCCATGAAATGGTAACATTTATTCAGCTTTACAAACTTTCGCTAATTTATACAAAATTTTCTATTCTTAACCTGACTCCTAATATAAATGCGAAAATAAATCTACTCTTGTTACTTATTGGTACCAACAATGGGTTATTATGGTACCAATAAGTATGTACTTTGAACTTACTGTACTGTACTTTGAAATTTGGTATGTACGTATTATATAGGATGGAAAATATAGGTTACTTATTATTCTGGTCAAATATATCGCGATCACGGTAAAAACTAGTGCAAATACTTCGTTACCCCATTATTCTTATACAATATTATACTTCGATTCGTGTGGTCTCTAAATAGAATAGACGTAGATGTAAAAACCGAATGAAAGAACTTGATGCTAGAGGGATGGGCAGCTACGTCCCTTTTAAAACATCTCTAAAAGCCTAACTACGGTTGCCAACCTCGTTTGCCAAACGTGGCAACTACTGGCAAAACTTCCTTTAAGGGAAAAAAATATGTTCAGCAGTGGACAGTTAACGGCTGAAATAATTATTATACTTCGATTGTAAAAAGAATGACTAAAATCGTTTTAAAATTGGTAAATATATCGCATAACATGCATTCAAAAGGAAAACTTCAAAAAAAGAGATACCACCTCGTCCTTTTTAGAAGGAGTTGAGTTGATGAAAGTACCAATTGAAAAGGAGTTTCCGAACTAACCTTACATCTTTTTCTTTTCCCTTTAAAATATGCTTACAGACGAGTGATTACGTTAGTCAAGACCCAGCATTACGATTACTGGTCATTAATTTCAAAATAATTTACATTTGTTGTCTCGTCGTGGACACAATGAAATTTATTTTAGAATAAACTCTGGTTGATCAAAATGCGTTTTATTAGAAATAAATGTTAACAATAATGTTCTGAATGGTGTTACAACTATCCAAGTGAAAACAAGATGGCCCCGTGCCAGAAATACAACAGTGGACGGTAGGACAATAATAAAAAAGGAAACGCCTGCTCGAACAGGCCGAGCACGCAATTACGAAATTGTCATTAACAGTAATAATATAATTGTTTTTACATGTATTTATGGGACCGCCGATCAGCCAGCCAAATACAGAATTACGAAGTTTTGGTTTGTTTGGACCTAAGGAAGTCTGCTCAGATAGTATAATGTCCCAAAAGAGGTCAGCACCTATCAACATATCGATAGGACCTGGTTGGTCAAATGTTGGGTCCGCTAACATAATCTGTTTGGGTAAATTTAAATTTACACAAAATTGTGGTAAACTTCCTGTAAGTCTATCAAGAACGAAGCAATTTAATTTAAATTTACTTTTATTATTTAGAGATTGTATTTGTACCATAGAACTTTCAGTTATATTATTGTTAACATTTATTTCTAATAAAACGCATTTTGATCAACCAGAGTTTATTCTAAAATAAATTTCATTGTGTCCACGACGAGACATTTGTTATTATAATATTATAATTATTATGGTATTCACAAATTCCTACACGAACTAATAATAATTAACGAAACCATTCTAAGGAGTGTTACTACTTAACAATCCTTATAAATTTATTATAAATGTGAAAGTGACTTTCAAGTAATCGTCATGAAAATTGGTATACATTGGTATAAAGAGTGGGTAATATATATATCTATATATTTATTTACCAGAGGGAGACTGTATAAAAGTCGATTGCTTGGGTACCTCTGTCCCATTCGTGTTTCAATCGTGTTGCATGGCTGTGTTTCGATTTGAAGGGTGGAATATGGCGTGAATTTACTGGGTATAGAAGAATAACACCTGAGTCCTCAGAATGGCAACGCATGGGGGGTATCATGAGAAACAATAATCTGTTATGTCCATTTGCATACTTTTTACACTTGTACTTGTCACTATACTATATAAATATATTCTAATTCCAGGGTCCATACTCCAACGTACTCAGAGCAGTGAGGGTACCAATAATATCGAAGGAGAATTGTCAAAATGTACCCTTCCCCTATTTTAGAGGTAGCCTTACTGCTAGAATGTTCTGTGCCGGCTTCTCTGAAGGGAAGAAAGATGCTTGTCAGGTAACAAATATATAAGGGTTATTTTTTTTATTATAAATATATTTATTTCCACTAATTTTGTTTACTGCATCATTACGTACGTCATGCTTATTTCTGGAAACTCATTTTAATTAAGTTTTGTAAATGGGTATTGTTTCTGTAACTTGAGAGATAGGATAGTTTTTATTTCGTTTAGAAAAAAATGTCAGTAGATGGCGCTAGGTAGCCAAAGTAAGTTTGCTGGGTCAGGTTCTTAAATATATTATTAATTTAATCTAAATATACCTCGTATAATAATATAATACCAGAGGGAGACTTTGTACAAAAGTCGATTGCTTGGGTACCTCTGTCCCATTCGTGTTTCAACCGTGAAGCAGTTGTGTTTGCATGGCTATGTTTCGGTCTGAAGGGTGTCATATGGCCGTGAATTTACTGGGTACAGAGAATAACACTCCACAGTCCTCAGGAATGGCAACGCATGAACTATCATGGGAAACACAACTTTCTAACAGGTGGGCCGTCAAGCAAATGACTTTGCCATTCATATAATTTATCTTAAAAAAAATATCTGTACGTACTTCGCTAAATAGAAGAATTGTAGAAGTATACAAAACAAAATCAATTTGTTAATTTAATTTGATTTATATAGAATAATGTAACCATATTCCAGGGTGACTCCGGTGGTCCAGCAGTAGCTCATGACAGGATATTGGGGATGGTCTCCTTCGGGTACGGGTGCGCAACTCCAGGATCTTATGGTGTGTACAGCAAGATCGCCAAGGTGAGACCATGGATCGAGCAGACCACCAAAATAAAGTTCGATTAAATATATATATATATATATATATACATATTTTTGAAATATTTTTCGGAATTTTATTTAACTGTAATTGTAATGAAAAATATTGTTTATTGCTTATGGTTTTATTTTCCTTTTTATTATTTAAATTTCTTACTAATATTATAAATATGAATGTGTAATGTATTGTTTGTTTTTAACCTCTCGCTTTAACGGCTTAACCGGTTGTTATGAAATGTGGTATATACATACTATATGATTTGAAGAAAATGAGCTACTTTTAATGAATGAATGAGTATACTTTATTTGCATTATACAATATAGGGAATAAGCAAGACAATTTACAAACACAACGATACAGTTGTATAAGTACAGTATGGCGATATTAACCTGGTAAATAATAATATATTATTTTACATATTTAACTCTTTATCGCACTAGAAACATTAAAAATATATAATGACAATTGAACAATTCAAGTGAAATACAGTAGCATGAAGTACAGGTTAAAATATACATATAAAGGTACAAAAGGCGGTCTTATAGCTAGGGCAATCTCTTACAGATAACCTTTGGTATATGATATTACATTGAGAAACTGGAAAGCTCACAGAAAGCTCACTTAGTAAATTAAATAAATAAATATCCCATTTATAGGGACGAAGTAGCGGGTGAAACTAGTAGCCTTATAAATGTACTAAAGGCGATAGGCTGAATACTGAAACAATTTTAAATGTCCCACTGTAATATGTACATTGTGTAAATACAAATAAGTTGTCGTTTATATATATATATATATATATATATATATATATATATGGCCTTGTTTAGTTCAATCATTCAGATACATAGGTAGATAGGGGAAAGGGATTATTAATAATGGGGTCAAATAGCCCCATTACTAGCAATATACCCTGTCAGGTCGACCTCCACGTGGTTCCCCCTGGAAACCATCGTGGCTAATTCTAATTGAATTCGTCAGGATGGGCTAAATGACCTGCTTTCATCCTTATTAGTCATCTATGACTGGTGCCCCGCCAGTTTATTCCGATAGCGCCCATTAAAAAAAAATAGGTAGATAATAATACTGGCAACTGAGATGTGTTGCCATGGTGACAAAAAATAACAAAAAAAGTTTACTCTCATTAAAAATTCAATAAAATCATCTACCAGAATTAAGCTCAATTAAAATAATCAAATAGCTCCTCAAGATCCCTGTTCAGGATTGAAAAAGATCTATATTTAAGGAAACATTTGTATGGAATAGTAAAAATAGTTTATTGGCAGCTCACGTGTGGTTTTGCTCATACGTTCGGTTCCCCACAATTGCGAACATTCACGCGGTAGCCCCTTATCATTCAGATCATCTGGTGCATTCGATTCTGATTGTCACATTCGCTGCGACCAAAAACCCTATTTTCAATTGACTTCAAAAAGACGGAGTTTCACAATTCGGTTGTTTTTTTTAATGTTTGTTACCTCGTGACTCCATCAGTTGTAAACCAATTTGGAAAATTATTATATATATATATATATATATATATTATATATATATATATATTATATATATATATTATATATCTGAGAGCTTTTATATATTTTTGAATATATATATATATATATATATATATATATATATATATATATATATATATATATATATTTATATATATATATTACAACTTAGAATGGCACACAAACTGACGACTCACCGGATGGAAAGATAAGCCTCTTATTTGGGGGGATTTAGCCAGTAGTTGCCATGCTTGGCAGGCGGATTAGCAACCGCAGTTAGGCTTTAGAGGTGTTTTAAGAGGGACGCTGCTGTTCATTCCTCGCCTTCCCTTAGTATACCCACTTGAAAGGAGTGGCCTATATTAACTTAATGTGTGCAAAATAATAAATAAATGAAATAAGAAACTACAATCGAATTGAGCACCTCCTGTTTTGAAGTCGGTTGACAAGCCAAACCAGTGTAACCCAGCCATTAAAATAATAATCTTACCGCCAAACGATGTTTATTTTTTATTTGTATACGTATTATACATATAATAAATTATTAATTAACTCGCACAATTGGCTCGGTCCAAAATCAATATAGCTGCTTACCCACAGTGCGCTGTGGTCACCGCCCCGTTGTTAGCAATAAGCACACCGCCACAAATGTCACCGTAAATTGACTTTTTTTTTACAACACAGGTGGCAAACGAGCACGCGGCTCACCTGATGGTAAGTGACTACCGCCGCCCATGGTCACCCGCAACACCAGCGGCATTGCAGGTGTGCTGCCGGCCTTTTAAAAAGGAATATGCTCTTTTCTTGAAGATTATGTTGATATGGTGTTTCCTTTATGTCAATATCATATTCATCTACGATGCTAAAATTATAATTAAGATAACTTATTATTATTATTAAAAACAAAATTCGTATTTGTACAAAAGTCTTTTGCTTGGTTACCTCTGTCCCATTCGTGTTTCTATCGTGAAGCAGTTGTGTTTGCATGGCTGTGTTTCGGTTTGAAAGGTGGGATATGGCCGTCATGATTATAGGTGACGGTCACCATTTTCCATCAGGTGGGCCGTCAGCTTGTTTGCCATTCTGAGTTGTATAAAAAAAATTAATAATAAATAAATAATAATGTCATAATTTAATATTGGCATTTAGGTATTCGGTTACATTGTAATTGTTACATTGTTCTTAAAAAAAATGTCTTTATTTTATTTTTAAATTTATTTCTTGCCATTTGCGTTATTGTTGTGGATAATTTATCCAACATAAAATGCTGCCCATAGTTACGTGGGATCTGTAAACGTTACCTGATGACGTCTACGAACCCTGTAATTTTACTGCCATGTCTGTATAAGCATGACTGTGTTTCGATTTGAACGCTAGAACAGAGGGCCTACCATCAAATGTTTTCCGAAATTTCGGAGTCAAACGAAACAGAAATTTGATGTTAAAATTACATAATACATGCCGTTTGGAAATATTAAAAATGTTAAAATATTGTTCCTTTGGACTTTTATGATACAATGTATGATGAAAGAAATGTTAAACTCCATTTATTGGTCCGATTTTGGTATAATCAAAAACACGAAATTGAGTCCGAAATTTCGGAATTTCACTTCATGGTAGACCCGCAGATTCTACATTGTACAGACACGAGTATTGTAAAGATACCAACACTTGTACAAAATCTTTTTCTGGTAAATAAATATTTAATGCAAGAAATATGTTCCATGTTTAATGAGACTACAGTATGAAGTTCTTCAAAAAAAAGGTATGTTAAAGTTTCTACAGGGACAGCAACGCGCACATGATTGTTTACCATCAGACGGGTTATACACTTGTTTGCGTTTCTGTGGTATAAAAAAATGGATAAGAGGAGGATATAGCCTATTATTACCACACACTAATAGTTTCATTTTTAAATCAAAATAACAGATTTTTGCATAATTAAAAACAGTTTTTTGCGAAACACAATTTTAAAAGATTTTTCTATATTCAACTCAGATGCTTTATGGGATAGGTAGAGAGATCAAGTGTCAAAGACCTCTTTTATATATACCTCTTGCTTCATCTACTCTCATAGTTTCTTATAAAATGTTGACCTACATTGACCTATAACAGTTTTAGGCTTCATGATACCTGATAGATAGGGTGTTTGCTGAAGAAGGAGTCAAGAGTGTCCGGAAACAGCGTACATGCATGAGACAAGTTAAGAAACTTCATGACCAAGATGTAAGGATACAGGCCTTTGACATTCTGTTTTCTCTGCCGAATTTGAATAGCTGGGGGGTTTCTCCTACTCTCTTAACGGTTTCTTTAGACCAGGGCCGTAGCTAGACCCAAGTTTAAGGTAGGGCAAAAGAACTTTTTGGTAAGCCATAAAGTCATAATTAAGTCACTTTGAAAAGCACTCCCCCTCAATACCCCTTCCCCAGCTAATGCCATACTTTTGGCTGTTATTAATGTGATCTAACAGGCCCATCACGTGGAAAGTGTTTATTAGTAATGCGGACTACCAATCCCATTGCTAGCAAAATGTCCTGTCAGGTCAACCTCCACGTGGTTCCTCTGGAAAACTTCATGTTGAGTTCATCACGATGGTCTAACTGACTTGTATTTTCACCTATTCCTCGTTAGCGGGACCAGCGTATACCGTTAACGCAGGCGAGGTTACCATTCCAATATCATCCGTTTAAAACAAGGCCCATTCATTACCAACAGTATATTTTATTTGTCATTCTAAATGGCATAAAAAAAATCACCACGAAAGTAGTCAACGTAATAAAATATTCTGTTTTGTAATGTCCATTTAATCCAGACCTTAAGCCCGTCATCAATGATAAAGCCTGAATATCATCCGTCAACAGCGTCCTGCAAAAGAGCTGCCTGCTTCCAATCAGACAGGCTCAAAGTCCGAAATTCCGAATGAAAAATCCACGTAAAATTATTAAATATTCCGACAGCCCCCCCATTTCCTCCCCCCCATTATATATTGGCATATAACATAGGTATATAACCGTTAACGTATATATTGTGTTAATGTAATTATCTCGCTTCAATTTTGTATAAAATTTCGCATGTGTGCACACCAATTCGAATGTGTGGGTGCGCGGAATGCCTTCATGTATATGCACTATTGCAATTGTATGCGTTTATTTTATCTACAAACGCTGTTTGCCGTGTATTGACGTGGGGGGAACGGGATATGGGGTGTTCCCCCCTCGGGGAGTCATGATGACGATGACGCTGAGTCTGCGCAGTCGGTAGAAAGAGATAGGTGTACAAAAAGTCTAGGCATAGCCCAGGCAGTTATACTAGTGGTTCCACCTGAAACTGCCTGTAATTACGATGTATTGATGTATGTACAAACGCGTACCGAGTCAAATTAATGACACCAGTTTTGTTACGCGGGTAACGTTAAATTTAATTTATTGTTTAACCACAAAGGAATAGTTTCAGTATTTGCAAATAATATTAAATTGTCTCTCGTCCATTTTATACCGCGTCGTAAAATTGAGTAATGTTATAATTATTTATTTATTTATTTAACACTTTATTGCACCAATATTACAGGACTTGTTGAAGAATTTTCAATAAGTATAGTGTAGTACCAAATTGT